AAAAAAATTGGAGAACACAATAAATGAAGAGAATAAATTTAAAAGGCATGGGTCTTGAGTTTACCCTTGATTATATTTTGTATTTGTTGGTACAGTAATGTAAATGTACTCATTCACTGCTTATACACCAGCTTAACCTGCATCAAAAAACACCCACGGTCTGGTTCCCAAACCCACTCCTCTTATTATTTTTCATCTCTCTTTTTCACACAACCCAACTTCAGCCAAACTAAAATATATCATTTTTCATTTGGGTTCCAATACTGCTTTTTCCCAGCTATGGACCACTGCACACACCAAAGGCTTCAGCTAATTTGCTCTTCTTCATTTCTCTGTGTCTAAATCTTTTACAGCTATTATCCTTTATAGTTCAGCTCAAATAATACTTATTTCCACATAGCTATCCCTGGAATCATCTTCCACTAAAAAGCATTTCTGCTATATCTCCTATAAAATGCCACACTTTCTTATTTTGTTAGTTTTTTGTTTTGCATGAGCACATTTATACATGCATGTGTATGAGGGGGTGTGTGTATGTGGTGTGTGTGTAGAAGTAACCTCTTTAGGGAAGAGACCTTGTCTTGCCACCTTTGTATTCCACTCAAGGAATAACAGAGTGTTTTCCTGAGTAAACACATAAAATGTCTAAGTAAATACCCATAAGACACAGAGCTAGGAAGATTAAAAACAAGGGCAACTCTTGATTTTTAGTTTTATTATGCTTATCTCTTTTTCCCTTTTAACTCAGATTTCTTAACCTGACCTCTTACCTGAAGATAAGTTATTCTTCGTTGGACCAACTCTGTCAGATCTTTGGCTTCTTTTTCTCGCCAATCACCAGCTCCATCTGTTTGACTGAGGTAGTATAGATCCGTCATTATAGACCTATAGAAACAAACATTAAAGGTCTAATTTATTTGTACTTCACCAGAGGATTACACAAAGTCTTAAATGGAGAGTCAAATTCATCACAAAGATTGATGATATAGAAGAAAATGCTTATTAAAGGAAAAAAGGAAATTCAATGTGTACTGCAAACATTAAATTAAACATACAGAAGCATATAAACAAGCAGTACCCCATTTCATTGACAATGATTATATAGCCTCAAATGGGTAAAGGCTACATTATGTCTAATGTAGAGAAAATACCCTGAAACATAAAAATTGGCATGGTTTATTTTTTCAAGTCATGATAATTAAGGCATTCCTTTACCATTGGGAATGAAAGCTGATTTTTGCATTTCTTAACAAATTAGAAAACATAAACGTGAATATTTTCATAAAATTACATTAGTACTTAGCAGTAATCATTCACATTTGTTCCTATCTTTGTCAAGAAAGTATAGTAAGCAAAATTATAACTAGAAGGATAAACACGCAAAAATAGTACATTAACAGATTATGGTAAGTGCAGTCAGCGTCTCAATAGAAGTCACTATACTCTAGAACCCAAGATGGCATTAGAGTACATTCACTGCTTTGCACTCCACAGAATCATCTCTTTGGAAGCCAGAGAGCTCCATGGGTAGGCAGGTGATGCCAGAGAGGGCACAGAGGAGATTCCTGCTCCACACCCTTACCTGAAGGGATCAATGCACCCCTGTGTTCACTGCAGTACTATTTAAAATACAATAGCCAACTTGTGAAAACAACCTAAATGCCTAACAACAGATGAGTGGATTAAAAGATGTAGTATGTATATATAATACAATACTATCCAGCTATAAAAATGGTGAATTCTTGCCATTTGTAAGAACAAAGGGAAAGAGTATAGAACTGAAGGGGATTAGTCTAAGCAAAATAAGCTTAAACAAATACCAGATGCTTTCAGTGATATGTGGAGTACAGAGAAACAAAACAAAGGGTGCAGACCAATCCAAACAAAAAACAAACCCTAAAAATCTGACTGTAGATTTATGGCCACCAGCAGGGGAGGAAGAGTAGAAAACAGACATACATCTGAAGATGCGGCATGTTAATCTATACCTCTGATTCACAGACAGTGTTATAAAACAATGGTTCCTCAATAAAAAAATTAAACTTGCTCTTTATTTCTTGGCCTCCCCCACTGGAGACCTAGTAGGAAAGAGAAGTCCAGGAAATGTAGTTAAGTAAACCTTAGTTCTTTGCTGGTTCAGTAATGTTAAGAAGTTATCATGTTACAAAACTTACCACCTTCTAGCCAGTTTTGAGGATAGTCAAACAGAAAGTTTTTATTTGTGGTCCAAAAAGGGCAAACATAGTAATAACTCAACAGCATTCAAGTAAATGCTCAATTTTGATGGCTCTACTATAAAATTAAATGTCCTAGAGGTGTCCTAAAAGTTGGACATCCAACATTCTTGGTTTTTACTATGAAAATATCAAGAAATCTAGGATATGGATGGTTTACATAAAGGTCTGGTATGAGGCCAGGTCAAGATCTGGGAAATACTATCTTTAGCAAACTACCTGAAGAATAATATTAGCAATTTGGAGTAGAGTACAGATAACTAACGATAAAAAGTTGATTAGGTAACATCTATAGCTCCGAGAGCAAGCCAGCTGTGACAGGAGTCAAAACCTCTATTTCAAAAGCTGAGCTACATTTATGTTCTCTGTATTTTCTGTTAATTTTCCTGTTTTTACATCTTAATATTCTCAAAGTTCTTTTTTAAATGCTGTATTTGTCTCAATTATAACAGTGAAAAACCATAAGGAGTGTGTATTTCTTATCCCTGGTTCAAAATGTTAAGGAAAAACAATACCCCTGAAAAGAGAACAGATAAAATTTAAATAAGATAATTCCAGACAAAAGAATTGAGGTTTATTAAGGTAAATGTGTCTAAGGGATCCTGCACCACGGAACTTATCTCCATAGGTAAATCTGGATCATGAGCAAGAAAACTTAGTTGGGTTTTATCTAAGGCTGCTTTTATTTTGGTTCTTTTTCTTTCTTTTTTTCTTTCTTTTTTTTTTTGGAGATAGTGATGAGTGTCATCATTTCTTTTAATTTTTATTTATTTTCTTATATTGTTCTTTATTTTTGTACAATATTTGATTTCTCCCCTCTGTATTCTTCGGTCCCCATAGTTCTTTGGTTAGGTCTTGGGGCAGAAATAAATAATGCAGAGGATAAAACTGAGATGACAGGGAACTAATGTTTCTAATGCTTCCTCTGTCTCAAGGAGGAATTTTAAGGTATCACACATCTTGGTATCTCAAATGTGTCGGAAGGAAAGCAGCGGACAACAAGAAAAATAGTTTATACTATCATTTCAGGCAATAATTATGCCACTGAGTGACTGACTACCCTTAGGCTTCAGGCCTCATAACCTTCCTATGGAGCCCTGTGACTATGATGTCCCTTTGTCTGCCTTTGCCCTGAGCGGGGTCTTAAAAGTTTCCTACTTATAGCCCCTTATGGCATTTTTTCCTATGCATATCTGACTAGAATTTACCGGAATCTACAATTTATCAGTCACCATGAAAAGTGTTTTATGTATTTTCTCACATTTAATCATCACAATGCTGTGACTGAGGAAATGTACAAAACAGGAAAATGAAGCTCAGAAAAGCTAAGTATTTAGCAATTAAGGGAAAGAACTTTGGGAGTAAATAACCCTGCCACTCACTTGTATCACCACTACTGAACTTCTCTGGGCTTGAGTATAATGATATATATAAACTAGGGAGAACAACGTTTGCCTCATATAATTACTAGGCTAATAAAATACAATAATGAATGGAGAATCTTTTATCACAAAGATAGGCATGTAGAAAATCCTTAGTAAGTGATTTTTTATTTTGATCAAAATCATTCTTGAGTTTGGAAACCTCACCCAAGGAGATGCAAAGGTGTGGACAAGCAAAACAAACTTAGGGCCACTAGGTGAGACACCCCTTTCCACTTAGTGAGTCTTCTTCCAAAGAAAACTTTATTTTAGGGGGGATTTTCCCTTACAGATATTGGTAATCATGATCAGGTTGATAGAGACTAGGCAATGTGCAGAATAAGGACAACTTTACTTGACAATGTCACTGTCCATGGATATTAGGAGGAACGCTGAAACACCATTTAAAAATGATCATGGAGGGCCCTCCCTGGTGGTGCAGCAGGTTAAAGCACGGCACTATGAAGCTAAAGCCACTTTAGCACGAGTTTGATCCCCGGCCTGGGAGGTTCCTGACTGGCCCGCGGCTCCCCTCAGCAGTGTACTTTGTCAGTCGGCCTATTCTGCTCCCCACTTTGTCTCTGGTGAATTCTCTCATCGACCCTGACCTCTGGCCTGTACCCCAGTTCTGTATGCATAAATAAATAATTCTTTACAAAGAAAAGATCATGAATTCCATAGTAGAACAACAATTACACAAAAACATTTTTTCAAAAGGAATTAAAGATTGGAGAAAGAGTATCTGTATTCAGATTTATATAAGTCTCAATCATATCTCCAAGAATATCTTCCTATTTTCCTTTAATCCTCCCTCTGTGTGTGTGTGTGTGTGTGTGTGTGTAGCAGGGGAGGGGGAGAATGGATATGAATGAAAAAAGAAAATAACACTAGATTTGAAGTTTCATAAAACTTTTCAAGACTTTAAGTCTGAACGCAGCAATTCTCAGGCTTGTCAGAGAGAGGGGAGTCTACCTTCTACTGTCTAAAGGCAATAAAAATACAAGTTATTGGGCCACAATTGTTATGACCAGCAATTTGGATTGGACAAATCTACAAGTGATTACCCTACTAATCTTCTATAAACAGAAGTAGCACACTTTATCTGATTTGAAGTCCTTTCCCTGATACGAAATCCCTTATAATGTCTTTTTGCACAACTGCAAAAAGTCAATCAGCATAACTAGCTATAAGTACCATTCATCAATTGGGAAACATACATGACCTTGGTCTTAGTAAAATTGTTTTATATATTAGTGCTGATATGAGACACTGCAGACCAGGAAGGGGCAATGCTATTTTACCAGATTGTTTCTCAACAATTTGTCAACTGAATTGAGAAGTAGCGCATCGACCCAGTAAGCCCTCCAATCTTTTAGTTTGAAGCTTAATAAATGCTGCAATTTTAAAACAAAAAAAGTAGCTCCAGTAAGTATTTTCATAAACTGGTGCCTGGCAATATAAAGATGACAGAAAGAAATAAAGCAACAATGATTAAGTTAAATATGTCTCTAGGCAACCTAAAAGGATGATAGGAAAAATTTTCCATAATATCCTCAGCGACTGTGGTACAAATTTAAATGGGGATAAATCTAAGCACTGTAACTACTACATAAATAAAACCACAATGACAAAAATAATCACTCTAAGCTGCTGGTTCCCTTTTCACTCTTTCAAGGAGAAAGGTCAGGATTAATTCATGATCAATGCTGTTAAAAGCAGCAGGTAAATATAGCTATATTTCTCTGACATTTGGTCAAATATGAAATCACTAGAATGAAATCATCAACTGAAAAATCTTGTGATACTAATGTTTAAAATCAATACAGCAGCTAGTAATAATATGCTACTCTATTATACCATTAACCCCTCTAAATACCGAAAAGTTCTCTAAAAGTAAAAAAAAAAATTACAAAATAATTAGTAGTTGATAATCCAACTACGGTAGCAAACAGGGGTCAGCCGCTACTTGTTACCAACTCCAAAGTAACAGGCTACTCAGGTAAATAGTGCTTTTGCTAAAAATCTCAGCTGAATCCCATATTCAAACAAAGAGATTTGGTCCACAGGTTGCAGTCATGACTGGTATTTAGAATAATGAAAAACAGGATTCACGTTTCAAAAGAGAAACATGGTCTCTTCACTCAGGGAAGAGCATTAAATGAGGAGTTAAGGATAAGTTCTCATAATTAGCTGCAAGTACCATTCATCAACTGGGAAACACATCTGACCA